CTGGGCTCAGGTGGGTGAGATGAACAAGAACAAGTTGGCAGACAGCAGGTTACAGCAGACAGTGATCCTTGGGCGCTGTACATCACTGCATGTCTGCCTGAACAAACCATTCAAATCCAGTGTGACAAGTGATGGTCAACTTCACTTTCACAAGAAGCCACAAACGATGAAAGTCGCCCACCAGTTGATGTGTAGGAAGCATGGAAGGAAATACCAGAAGACACTGTACAACAAACCTGTCTAAAGTGCGGTATTGCCAGTGTGATGGTCACAGGACAATTGCCTGGTAAATCGTCTCAAGTTGAAGGATCTGAGGACACAGACACAATACCCTCAAAGACGGATGAATGTACTGACTCCTTTCCTTCCTTATCCAACCCCAAAAATATTCATGCTTTATGATGGCTTATAAATTGTCAAGTCTGAACCAGACAATCATCTTATATATACATGAATGAATTTACATTACCGGTAGTCTGTCTCACAGTCAATGAACCATACTATTTTCCCTACAGCCCAGCCCTCCCTGCAGTAGCAAGCCCTAAATGGAGCAAGTCTAGATTTCCTCAGGTTCAGGTTTTGAATCTCTGGTCTGCCTTGGGCTCCTTTTCAATTTAAATGGGTTTATTTGTTACAATCAAAATATATATCCAGAGACTAAGCGTTAGTCTAGAATTTACATGTGTGTGCATGAATGCATGACTGACTGAATGACTTCTAACCTAAACTATATTCTTACTTTATATATCAGCTATATTTTGTAAGCATCAGTTCAGTGTAGTGCCTTGCCAATACAAAACGGCAGTGTGCTGTAGTCATACAAATCATCATAGAAAAAAACAGCATGTCTTTGTAGTAAATGTGGTGTGCATCAGTCCAGATTGACTTATAGACAGTGTTTATAGACATCAGTGTACTGTATGCTATAGCAGGCCTTCCTAACAGGTTGATCCATAGCCCCAGCAGTATTATGTCTCACAGTCCCTGAACCACATTATTTTCCCTACAGCCTTGCCCTCTCTGCAATGCTAAAGCCCTAAATGAAGCAAGTCTAGATTTCATCTGAATCTCTGGTATCCCTGGGGCTCCTTTTCAATTTAAATGGGTTTGTTTGTTACAATCAAAATTATATATATTCAGAGACTAAGCGTTAGTCTACCCCAGCAGAAGCATGTAGAAAGGCTGATAGACGATCAACAGATGACAGCATGATATAATACTGCCTTGAGGTAGAAACAGTCGAGTTGGTCTGAAATGTGAAAGGATGGAGAATAATAAGGTACTTCTGGATACTGGAAATGTCACTGGAGATTTTATACATGTTCATATATTGACAGCTTGTCCTTTTCCTTTAAAAACCTTGCAAGTTTTGAAAATCTGCTAATGTTCAAATATAGAAATGATGCTTCCTGCAAGCCTCTGAAATCAGCCTTCGGATTGTTTCTTTGAGGCATTTTAGAAGTTGTAAAGATGAAGGAAAACCAAGTTCTATGGATAGTCATAAATTGTTCGGATTGTTGCCTCACCTGTACATTTGGTTATAAGTCACCCACATGCAGTTGTTAAAATGAACAAATTCTACTTCTAATTCATATGAACACATTCGATAACATACATGACGATATATAAATATTATCCTCATTGATATATTAGATTGTGCATGTCCTTTCAGTTGTTGATGTGTCCTTTTCTCCATATTCATTCAGCTTGTTCAATACTACACCTGGTTACACATGCATGTTGATAATCACACCTGACGACTTTTACCTTCACAAATAGTGAAACTGATTATAGATGTCAAGAATGAATGTGCGAAGTCCCCCATTTACATACAGAGGCTGTTAATAACTTGTCCCAGCTATACATTCTTCTGTCACTCACACAAAGCCCCCACCCCTACATGGGGCCCCACTACATACACTTAGCAGAATAAGCATTCATATACTAAGGCCCTATTGGGGAGAAACGATCGATTTTCCCCGATTTTGTACATGACATGCAAGGGGTGGGGATCACTTTTTTGTACATAAATTTTAGGGGGGTCTTTCACATTGTACATGCTTCTCCATAAAAATCATCACCACCACCCCACCCCACCCCACCCCACCCATAGCCATAAATTATGAACGGTCCATAACTTATTCATTCACATTCTCAAAATTATTACTTTCGTGTGCCTATTGCCTGTCATGTACGTACGTGGACGGTGAAACTGAACCTTAACAGGGCCCCGTAATAAATTACAATGCCGGTAACGCATGCATGAAGTAGAGGTTAAGCCTGACAATGTGGAGGGCGGCATGAACCATACCTTGTGTCAACATTGGAGTACTATATCTCGACACTCTGGCACGACACGATCACCAGAATAACACTGTGTCAACACTGTGTCGACACTGTGTCGACACTGCTTGTAAACTTCTCCAGACATGACCATGCTCATTGTCATTCTGATATCAAGATTCATTGATAGTACTTGCCGCTGAACTAATTTCTCAGATTAAAATCTCTACTGAATCACCCGCTGATATGATGAAAGCACAGTTTATTCTTTATGACTGGAATTCGTCTTTTGAGAAAGTTGCTAAATATTTCGAGAATGGATATGGCATGTTTCAATTTAAGAACAACTGTACACATACCACTTTACATACACTCATGCCAATAATGGTTGTCACCCCTCCCCACCCCAACCCCCACACACCTCACATCCTCACACCCCCTCCAATTAAAAAAATTGAAGGGGGTGACAACCATTATTGGCATGGGTTAAAGTTTCAGTGATAGTAGACATGTATATAGCTCTCAAACTAATGACCCCTTTGATTAGAATATCAATGAAATGTTGCATCACCTTGATTTATGTATGTTGTAATGTCTAGTTCATGAGAACAGTATTCCGTTCCCGAGCATAGCTTTATGTATGTCTTTAAGGCAACACAATTCAAGTTAGAAAGCAGGTATTTATCTCGGCATCTATCTCTATAGACTAGCGTTTAGAGTATACATATAAGTTTGATAGAAAGCAACAATTCCTTTTAAACTGAAAGTGAGACGGGAGATTCAGAACCAGTGTAAATCTAGACTTGTTTCATCTAGGGTTCAGAATTGCAGAAAGTGGGTGACTATGTTTTTTTCTGCCTCTTTTAGCAATATTCCAGCAATATCATGACGGGAAACCAGAAATGGGCTTCACACATTGTACCCATGGGGGAATAGAACCCGGGTCTTCAGCGTGACGAGCGGACTCTTTAACCATTAGGGTGCCCCACCGCCCCAATTGCAGAAAGGGCTAGGCGAAAGAGAAAATATTGTAGTTGATGGCCTGTGCGACAGACTTCTGTCTCTATTATTCCTGCGTTACTTTTCATGTCAAAACCATCGACAGCACAACGTTTTTCACACAAATGGAGAAAAACAATTCGACCAATATAACCGTTGCTTCTAAAAAGGAATTACCATCTACAAAAATAATGGTGCTGATTTTCACAAAACCTTTTTCATCACCTGAAGGTAGCATTAAGTGCAATCACTAGTACTGATTTTAGTAATATTTACGGTACTTGTGTTATGATACCCGGCTTGATTTATGCGGCGGTTTAAAGTGTAGCGAATCTACACGGCCAATTTGATTCACCGTGATCCAGGTAACATTACACTAACCTGCACTTATGGGCGTCACAGGGACACAAGGAAATCATTGTACGCTCAGATGATGATAGTCATGACGGATGGTGTACATTTCAGCGTGACATCCGCTGCTCTAATCGCCGTTGTACATTTCAAAGTTGGACCAGCTACAGTGACAAGTGTAAATTAAAGCTAAATTCAATCTGATTTAAATCGTACTTTATTTCAGCTAGTGTAAGTCATGAATCACCCTAGCTCCTATGTGGTCACTTAACCATCGCCATCACCACTTCACAATCTATTTCATGTTATAGTTTACGCCGTTAATTAAACAGATTCTTCGTTTGTGGTTTATCGCCGCAATATTCCAACTATATGCCGGCGACATGTAACTTGATACAGTTTGGACTGGACAAACATGTGATTGATATGATGAACAACACCGTCATCTGTACGAGAGAACGCAATCTATGAAAGTCGATCCAGTTACTCTTACAACCAGCGACAGGTTACTTTACATTACATAATAACATTTGTATAGCGCCGATATCCAATTCAGCTGCTCAAAGGCCTTAGCTTTTCCCTCGTTCACTGGATGTCAATCTCAACAGCACATCGTATTGTCAATCTCAACTCCCTGGGGATCATACAACTCTTGCAGCCACTAGGTTATCAAGGATCCGTCCTTACACCGAAACTGCATTGTTCTTAACATATACAACAACCGTAATCAATTTACATAAGGTATGGCTTTAAAGGCTTGAACGAGGAAATGTCATTCTATGCTTGTGTTTGGACGTCAACTGAAATTCTATACGCGGAAATTGATATTTACCTTGACAAACACGCATACACAGATGATCAAAACGCAGGCCAATATACAACAATACATAAATACATGTCATCATAAGAACGAACACTTTTACTGACCCCGAGATACTTAGCGTTAAGCCAACGATAGTATCATGTCTATTACAACACAGCGTTGTTGTCAGTCAACCATGAAGTGACTGACGTAAGCCCTCCGCATAGCTGAACTTCATCCAAAACATGTCACCTTTTCCGCACGAGTAAACAAGCATCAGTGTTGAGGGGACATTTTGCGTAACATAAGAAATATGTACTTACATGCATATATACCACCTGGTGATTATGGAAACATTGTATACAACTTGCCGACGCAGCGACAAGAGTCCAATGTCATCACTGAAATAGACACCCAACACGCCTTGACAGCTGTCAAACTCAATTCAGTTACAAGCGTGCTGCACGGAGTTTGTCAATTTCACATAAACGTTCGCTGTCAGACATAAATTACGTAAAATCAATCGCAGGATGTTAAAGATTGTTTGTCAACTGAAGTTGCTTACCTGTTACCCGGTTGTTTGTAGGTCACAAGCCATACACAGTGGCTATAGTCCGTTTTGTTAAAGAGTCCCAAGGGGTAACGTATTACAACGGTATGTAGGTTATGTTTACCTGCAGTTTAGGGAACATGCCGTGTTCAACTTAAAGCCCCTCAAGCATGGCACTTTGACATTTAACTTTAAACAAACTTGACGTTTATAGCAGTAAGTGTTACACTTGTATATGGTCCTTCATGTTTGCTGACTATCTTGTCTCAGCAATTTTTAGAATGCTAAAATAAGAGTATGAGTATTTGTTATTGTTTAAGCGTAGGAATGTGAAACTAATTAGCACCTTTTTTACATAAACCATTTAAACCTGATGTCAATATCGTCTCGTTATTACTTTAGCGCATTCTGTTTGTTTCCGCTAATGGGACACAATCCTGCTGATATTTTAGCCAAATATGAGTAAAACGAGTCTGTCGGACCAACGAGGGATCACATACAATTAGACTGACGCTTAGTCTCTGAACATATATAATATGGATTGAAATAAATAATTCCTTTTAATTTATAAAAGGAGACCCATTGAAAAGGGAAATTCAGTACCTGAGGAAATCTTGGTTCTTCTAGAGCTTTAGCATTGCAGAAAGGGCTGGACGGAAGGGAAAATAATGTGGTTCAGGTACTGCGAGACATACTACTGCTGGGGCTATGGATCAACCTGTTAGGAAGGTCTGCCACTGCCTGCTATAGCATACAGTACACTGATGTCTATAAACCCTGTCCTGCGAGACAGACTAATGTGGAATAAACATATGATATGTGTCGTTGTGTGCAGGAATACTGTTGGACGTGTAGGTGAAGGAATTACCGCAACATATTACAAGCAGATGGTTCAACATATCTACAACAAAAAAACAGGTGTATCAAGTTATATCCGAGACAGAATTAAAAGAATGTAAAGATATATTCTCAGATTTGAACTTTCCATAAATTGAAAATTGAGCCCAGTAAGATGGGTGATTCAGAACCTGAACCTGAATAAATCTAGACTTGCTTCATTTAGGACTTCAGCACTGAAGAATGAAAGAGCTGGGCAGAAAGGAAAATAATGTGGCTCAGGGACTGAGACAGTCTATGGGTCGGGTAGGTGGTCAGACAAGGTGAATGGCTGATAGCGTGTTGCTTATGTCATAGAGACTCGATTCATCTACAGGCCGCCGTAAGGAGTTTTAAGATAAACTAACATCTGTCAGTTAAACTGGGCCTAAGGGGCTACATAATGACCGACGTCAATGGTCAGCGAGTTTCCCTTTTTGATCTAGCTGACTATCTCAAGTCTAATCAGATGTGGAAATAGCCTCAGTACAACGTGACAGGTCATTTCAGAAAATCGTCAGTGAATTCCGTCGCCAAAGACGAAACCATGTGATGACCCCCGTGTTAAGTATGAGTGAGTGGGTGTAGTTTAGTTTTACGCTGATTTTAGCAATATTCCAGCAATATCACGATTGAAACACCAGCAATGGGCTTCACACATTGTACCCATGTGGGGAATCGAACTCGGTCTTCGGCATGACGAACAAGCGCTTTTAACCACTAGGCTACCCCACCGCCCCCATTGAAAGTGGGGATGACAAATTGCCTGAACGCCTGCTGTCGCCATCCGCTGTACAGAATCGGAGTTCACAGATCGTTTGTTCTCCCAATATCATGATACTTTGTTTGTGCGAACCCTGCCCAATTCGTGCTTGTAGACACATAACTATAATAAACTATGATAGTAGTAGTAGTAGGGGTGGTGGTATAAGCAGCAGTTGTCGTAGTAACTGTCGTGGTTACAGCAGCAGTAGGCCTAGTTAGCTGCTATGCCATGAAACATCTTACCATCTATACTGAGGGGCGTGACACTCACTCACCCACCCACTCGAGCACTCACTCAATAACTCATTCGAGAAGCGTGTACTGCTTTAACAACATCCGATTCCTCATACAGCGTCCCTTCTCATTATAAATCAGTCTAATATCACTCATACATCAAAGAGCGATGAAAAACCTATCCCGATAATAATAAAGTGTTTACTTTCACGGACCTCCCATATGATTGTGGTTGGGGGGAAAAGAAACCAGTTTTGAGTTGTTAATTTGTGAGAGGCGATTAACGCATGCGTGTGAACGTGGTAACACTACGTGCCACACGTGCGTAAGCAATGGCAAGCATGTCAATTTCACGTGGTTAGAATAAATTTGTACTGAGTGTTTACCATAAGTACTGACGTATATCTTTGCATTGCTACAAAAATAGTCGGTTTGTAGACAGGTCAATTTCAGGAGGGGATTGGGTCGAGTGATGTTTCTTTAGTTTTTACCAACCACTTGTGCCCCTCTCATACAAGGTCTTTTATAGGGTCTTTGTGTTTTTGGAATTTGTGTTAATGGTATTCCACGTGGCCATACTGTAGGTTGGGTGAAGGTTCCGTTAATTTGAAATACATTTATCGGTGTTTCTTAAAACACGACAAAAACAAACAAACGAGGAACAAACGCCTTGTCTCTGAAATATTTTGGACAGAATAAAATATAAACATTTAAAGGAACCCCAGCGAGAGGGGAGATTCGGAATCTAGATTTGTCTCATTTAACTTTTTGCATTACAAAAATGGGCTGGATGAATTCTCTATTCCTAAGGTTCATGAAATTCTGAATACTTCATTAGTTAATGACGACACTAAAATACATGGGTTGTACAATGCGGTCATTAAACTATCATTTACTAATGACATTTTAAGGGTAAGATTTCCACTCCATTAAATCAGTTCATTCCCTAACAATTTTCCCACAATTCCGTGTAGGGTAACACGCACTTCCCCTTCCTGCCGTCTTGTAGCACGATTAGCAGTTCTCTCAACTCGAACGTTTGTCAAGTCATAATTGCCACATACAACATTTCGGACATGCATTATGTAATGTACTTTATGTTTGCTAATCTGCAGTTTAACCCCACCCTCGGTAATATCCTGGCTATATAGCGGCGGCCAGTAAATAATCGAGTCCGGACCAAACAATTCAGTGATTGACGTCACTGGCATCGACCTACGCAATTGGGATACGAGAACATGCATCAACCAAGTCATCGAGCCTTACCACCCGATCTCGTTAGTCACTCCTTTGAAGCATGGGTTCCTGAAGACCAATTCCAAAGCGCATATTCACGGGTATACACCTGGGCCCTTATTCTCGAAACTTTCGTAGCCCTAAGAATTCTTAACTTTGATCGTAGCCAATGTGTTAAACTTTGGGTAGCCAATGTTAAGAATGTTCGTAGGGCTACGAACAATTCGAGAATAGCTAGCCTGATGTATTGGGCTTTTAGTTTTTTGTTTTGCTTTTTCACATTTGAACCTTGCATTTTATTAAAGCGTTGGCGCATATTAATAGGTACATTGGATTAAATGACTTCAGGATACGCTCAAACCCTCATACAGTTAATTGCCTGGGAAGAGTTAAATGTACAGGGAGAGTTAGTCTGTCTCACAGTCCCTGAACCACATTATTTTCCCTACTGCCAAGCCCCATCTGCGGTGCTAAAAGCCCTAAATAAAGCAAGTCTAGATTTCCTCAGGTTCAGAGATATGGGCTTGTTTGTTACTATCAAAATTATATATATTCAGAGACTAAGCATTAGTCTAAGGGAGAGTCTTTAAGGGTTTAAAACAATCGAATTTAATAGTACATGAGTTAAGGGCGGTAGACTGTATCATTCAAGTTTGCCAAGACCGTATGTAATTGTTTAGCTTCCCAATGATATACACAGGTCACAGATTCCCAGTATCAATAGCTTAAATATTCCACCAGGAAGTGAAATAACGTGTGCAATGAAACATATGAATAACACTGAAAGTTGTCATTTAGTAATTTTCAGTTCAGTTAATTTATATATTTGTAGCATAATCATCTTCACACGCCTCAAAAGAACTTTAGCTGCCTAATGGAAACAAGAAGTTGTCACACAGGAGGCCAACATTTTCTGTAACGATTTAAACAAGTTATTATTTCGCCATCTTAGTTGATACATTGTCTCCACGTTGCCCACAGAGTGTGCCGTGTGTTCCTGGGTGGTTCTGACCACTGTGACGTCATGTGTATGGTTGTTTCGATATGTTGGACATAGTGATGTTCGGGCCCGTGGTTATAATTGATTGATTGTTGTCTAACGCCGCACTCAACAATATTCCAGCTATATTGTGGCGGTCTGTAAATGATCAAGTCTAGACCAGACAATTCAGTGATCAACAACATGAACATCGATTACGAGGAACATCCCCGATTATGTTCGATCGAGTTGAAATCTCTGATTTTCCTATGGATTCACTTGGTTGAACCTTCATCACTTTCTATGTAATCTCCATAGTGAATGAGTCATGTTGTACGCTGCAACCAGCTGTATTCAAGCTATTCTGCTTATATCAGCAATATGTAAAACAACCAACCATGCGATCAAATGGTCACAATAGAATGGCGATCTGCATCACAAACTACAGTCACAAGATCCTATTAGTCAGTTCACACGATAAATACGGAGTACTTGGGACATATTCATCTGGAATGCTACATAGAGACTGTGAAAACAGTGCATATACTTGCCATAGAGATATATCAAAGATTTTCTCAAAACATCAAAGTAAGACCACACATCGCCCTATCTAATCAAGGTCACCGACATCTCCGATGTAAAGGATCATGACCGTTGTAAAACAATGCATATATACGTGTTCTCAAGCCCTATACTTCCACAGGTGATTCAGCAGTAGGTAGGAATCCCGAGTCTAGGTGAGGCTCCCTCGACGTGTCTGACCTTTACCAGGTAATCAGAGACATGGGGTGTCTCGGCAGTTCCTGTATTAGCTGTGAGTTATAACTCTTTACGCAGTACCCACAAAGCTGTGCTTGAGAAGCTGTTCTCCACCCCACGGGGACGGCAGCGCGATACAACGTCAGCGGACACAAAGTACGACTCTGAAGGTCAAAGAAACTTATGGTGAAAACATCGATCGTTATCTACCAGAGACTCTCATATCCTACAGCGAAAGTAAACATGGATTTTCTCGGGTTTGGTC